CCCTTGAATGGTTGGTAAAACTTAGCTATAAACCAATCTGTGCCTAGTGTTTTCATCAGATGATTAACTGCAGATTCAATTTTTTTTTTTTTTTTTTTTGAGAAAGAGTCTTGCTCTGTCACCCAAGCTGGAGTGCAGTAGTGTGAACTCAGCTTAATGCAACCTCTGCCTCCTGGGTTCAAGCAATTCTCGTGCCTTAGCCTCCTGAGTAGTTGAGATTACAAGTGTGCACCACCGTGCCCAACTAATTTTTTGTATATTTAGTACACACAGGGTTTCGCTATGTTGACCAGGCTGGTCTCAAACTCCTGGCCTCAAGTGATCCACCTGCCTTGGCCTCCCAAAGTGCTGGGATTACAGGCGTGAGCCACCATGCCCCAGCCTAACTGTGCATTCAATTCCTTTAATGGTTAGAAATCTATCTAGATGTTCTATTTTCTTCTAAAGTCAGTTTTTGCATTATATTTTTCTAAGAATTTGTACCTCTCAGCCAAGTATTCAAATTTATAAATACAAAGATACCTTTTGACTTAATTGTGACCCTTTTTAATTCCTAGTAATGTTTATTACATCTTCTATTTTTACAGATCAATCTTGTCAGGCATTTGCCAATTTATAATCTTCTAAGTAGCTGGGATTACAGTTGTGAGCTACTGTCCCTGGCCCAATTTATAATCTTTTCAGATACTTATTTATTTTTAGCTTTGTTGATTTTTTTTTTCTATTGTATCCAGTTCATTTTCCACCAATTGCTGCTCTAATTTTTAATTACTTATTTTCTTACACTTTCTATTTATTGTGTAATGCTCTTTTCACACAAGAAGGTGATAAAATTGGATTTCTATATAAATAATCTACAGCTCACATTTTTTCACTGATACAATTTAGACTAGCCTTCTCTTCTGTTATATAAAGTTTTCCAAGAATACTTAAACCATTCATTTTAGCTTCCCTCCTGACTCATTAATTGGCCATTGCTAGTAAGAGCAGACAAAGGGAATAAGTTGACTGTCACCATCTTTACTCATTATCATAAACTATCCAAGAATAAGATGAAAATCTTGTTTAAGAAAGTTTAAGGGGCGGGCATGGTGGCTCACGCCTGTAATCCCAGCACTTTGGGAGGCTGAGGCGGGTGGATCACGAGGTCAGGAGATCGAGACCATCCTGGCTAACACAGGGAAACCCAGTCTCTACTAAAAACACAAAAAA